ACCCAGCAGTAGAGGAGCCTAGCACTTCACGTGGATCAGAACACAGTTCAGGTATGAAAACACATTTCTTTGTGAATATTTGTTTATTTCTGCGGAAGTTTGTCATGTGATAGTAAACCAATGATTAACAGACTTATTTCCAATTTATTTGTTAGGACACAATCTCTGGAGGCACCTTGATATGGAGGTTGAGGAGAGCAGGATGACCTCTAATACTACAGCCAATTCCATAATTGAAGTCCAACGCTACCTGGCTGAAAGAAATGCACCGAGAACACAAGACCCATTACAATGTTGGAAAAATAACCAGAATTTATATCCACACCTTTATCAACTCGCACTTCAATTCTTATGCACACCATCTTCATCTGTACCCTGTGAAAGAGTGTTTTCTAAGGCAGGGGAACTGGTGTCTAAGAGGAGAAATCGCCTTGGAGCAAACACACTGCACAAACTTTTGTTCCTCAATAAAAATGCATAAATGAATCCATATTTAGTCTTTTATTTTGTATGATCTAACACAGAGGTTAACACATTTACATAAGTTAAAACTTTTACTTCTGATTTTTATTAGACACATTCAGATTTAACATGCCAACTCATTGTAACATTTACACAAAGGTTATAAGCAAATGTTAAACTCCTTTCATAAACAACTTAACTTAAATTGAGTAAATTAAATTACATAATGATATATTTTGATTACAGGAAATTAAATTTTGCACACCTGGTGTGGGTTTGCAGCATGTAAGCTTTTCCATCTTATTTACCTGCAATGATTTTAGAAATACTGCAGGTGTCGCTATTGAGTGACCAACACAGTGTCAGTACAGTGCCGACACAGTTTGTCTAGTGTGTCAATACACTCCTTGAGGTATCATCATTCCATCACTAGCGGGACGTGGAATACATTTCCAGGCGTGGTTAGAGGATACGAGGCGAGATACTGGAACAAGAACACACAGGATTTCATAGGACAAGTTTGCAGGAATTTCAGGAGATATACTGGGCTAGAAGCTACCCTTGGTGAGAGTATCAACCGGCACTGGAGTCGTGTCACACTGCTTCTTTAATCCCCTGGCCCTCTGATTAGCAGGATCAGGATCAGCTGGAGCTCATTGCCACGCCCACCTGCAACACAAACAGCTGACTGCCAGGTCTCCTCTCCTGCTGATTGAGGCAGACCGTGACAGAGACAGAAAGAGTGGGATGGGGTATGAGTCAGTCTTTCAGGGTGGCTCACTTGTTTATGAAAGCAAAGATGGTCAGCTGGAATAGACAATTGGACGCTGTTTGCTGAATGGTTATAAATGATCAACTAGTCTTAAAAGGGTAACTTCTTTCTTTCATTGTAAACTGACACCCCCAGCATTTTCTGGCAGAGCTTTGTTTACAAGTGGAAGCCGTCATTGGTTGATGGTTGCCGAGCTTTGACTACTGATGCCTTCATTTACATGCAAAGCCAACCTAAATGGAATGTGCCCTGTACACCAAAATACCTCCTACTTAAGCCGGGCGTACACTGTGCGACTTTTTCACTTTTTTGAGCCGATTTTCCAGTCGTGCGAGAAGCCACGACATCGGGGCGAGTTTTGCGCCGAGCGGTCGTGTAGTGTACAGGGGGTTACGAGAGGCGATTAACACCACGTGACCAGCCGCCGATCAGCAGTCGTGAGGTCGCAGGGACTTCTGGTGTGTTTAATATTTCGCTCGTCCCTCGTGAGGGTATCGCACTGTTGAAGCGGCGCTGCGAGCGGCTGCGACCCAAAAAGTACCAGAACCGCTCACGGCGCATGCGCGCGCAATCCTGCATCAACGCCGGCCGGTCGCTCGCTATTTCCCTAATAACACACGCTGTTCGTTTTTGTTTCTACACGTTTTTTTACTCACAAAGATTGTCAAGAAAGCGTGTTTGTCGTGTTCATGTCAAATTAAACTGATCACAAAACACAGATTCACTTTCTTTATTTCGTTTTCCTCATCCAACCCCCATAAATCCCTGTGTGTCCTCCTGCAGCACTCCCGAAGGACAACAGGCAAGACAAAAAAGTCTGACGTGTTGAGTAAAAACTGCTATTTTTAGCACATTTTTAGGGCCGACGTGTTGCTACCAGACGTACAGTGTGAGCAGTCAGGCCGCATGCGAGAACTGGGTCGTACAGTGTGAGCACACGACTCGTGAGATCTGCTCTGCGAGGAAGTCGTACAGTTTGAGCTGAAGCTGAACGCTGCGAGTGAAAAAGTCGCACAGTGTACGCCCGGCTTTAGAATGAGCTGTTAGTTGCATGGAAACAACCCCCACCACTGATTCCCATGTACTGGATGCATTTACAGAACAAAGGTAAGTCGATGCTTTGTCTAGGTAAATGAAATGATTGCGAGCTGAGGAGACAATTGTTGGAATGTGGTGAACTGAGCTTTTTCATCCACTTACTTCCTGACATTGCTTAGAAATGAGCAGTTAGTTTAGTTGCTTGGCGACAACCACCCACTGATCCCATGTATTGGATGCATTTACAGAACGTAAGTGAAATGATTGCGAGCTGCGGTGACAATTGTCTCTATGGTGATTCCCTTTGTTGTAAATTTAACACTAGGATAAGGAGAGGAATGTAGGAGAGGTGTGGCTGAGACAAATGTCTGTATGGTTAAAGCCGGGCGTACATTGTGCGACTTTTTCACTTTTTTGAGCCGATTTTCCAGTCGTGCGAGAATCCACGAGATCGGGGCGAGCTTTACACCGAGCGTCGTGTAGTGTACATGGTGTTACGAGAGGCGATTAACACCACGTGACCAGCTACCGATCAGCAGTCGTGAGGTCGCACGGACTTCTGGCGTGTTTAATATTTCGCTCGTCCCTCGTGAGGGTATCGCACTGTTGAAGCGGTGCTGCGAGCAGCTGCGACCCAAAAAGTACCAGAACCGCTCACGACGCATGCGCAATCCTGCATCAACGCCGCTCGCTCGCTATTTCCCTAATAACACACGCTGTTCGTTTTTATTTCTACACGTTTTTTTACTCACAAAGATTGTCAAGAAAGCGTGTTTGTCGTGTTCATGTCAAATTAAACTGATCACAAAACACAGATTTACTTTCTTTATTTCATTTTCCTCATCCAACCCCCATAAATCCCTGTGTGTCCTCCTGCAGCACTCCCAAAGGACAACAGGCAAAACAAGTCTGACGTGTTGAGTAAAAACGGCTATTTTTAGCATATATTTAGGGCTGACGTGTTGCTACCAGACGTACAGTGTGAGCAGTCAGGTCGCATCCGAGAACTGGGTCGTACAGTGTGAGCACATGACTCGTGAGATCTGCCCTGCGAGGAAGTCGTACAGTGTGAGCTGAAGCTGAGTGCTACGAGTGAAAAAGTCGCACAGTGTATGCCCAGCTTAACCCTAAATTCTTGAGTCAGGCATTTTCTGAAAGGGGTAAGTCCTTTAAATGTGTGTGTGTGTGTGTGTGTGTGTGTGTGGGGGGGGGGGGGGGGGGGGGGGCTCATGTATGAAAGGGAGGGGCTGTTGGAACTGTGGGGCTAACACAAAAGAATTATCAATCCTAATTTGACGTAAAGTGGTGCAAATTGAATACATCAAAGCAGATCATCAATATACGTCTTGAAAAAAGGGGACTATAATCATTAACTTCATGCGTCATTACACAACAGTCATCAATTCATTTCTTGACATATACGGTCATTAAAGGTCATCACAAAAGGTCATTAAACAATACACCTGTCAAGTTTGATGTAAGGTGGTTTGGGGGAAAGGGCATAAAGGTCAAAGAACAATAGACCTGTCAAAAAGCTTGACGAAAGGTGGTTCCTTATATCTCTCTGGTACCACTCATCTCCACTACAAATAGGAAAAAGAGGCTACAGTTTGCACCAGCTCACCAAAACCGGACAGTTGAAGACTGGAGAAATGTAGCCTGGTCTGATGAGTCGCCATTTCTGTTGATACATTCAAATGGTAGAGACCTCACAAACGTGGACCACAGCACCACGAGGGACAGACACCCACAGAGTCTGGAATGGCAGCTCAACCCGAGTGGACACGTTGTGGCAATTGTAGTAAATGTCTGCCTCGAGCGTGGGGGTGTTGACAGTGCTGACTAACGATAACTGCAGTATTCTGTAACACATGCGATCGGGGTGTAACTGTCACAGGACATTTAGACTCTTTCTCCGTCTGACCAATTCCACACAAGCTCGCGGCTTTGTTGTGCAAAAAAGGTGTGCCTGGACGAAGGATGTGAAGGCCTCAAGTGAGAGAACGTACGCGCAGGTAGGGGGACCAGAACTACATCCGGCTTGTCATCTTGGAACGCGACCACTGGTGGCGTATGCAATTTGATGTATCATCCACCCACTTACCAATGTTGATCATTTCCTTCAGTCGGTAGATGTGCCCTGGGGACATGACTGGTAAATTGATGAAGAATGCCAACTTTCTAGCATTGGGGTTGACCCAAAGCGGAATAGCAATGCCTAAAGTGAAAGCTAGGTGAGTTTGAAGTGCAATCACATCACCCTTCATAGTCCTGTTAAGCGCATCTCGGACCATGTCCAGAGACATCAGGCATGGAGGAATTCAAATGGCAAGCGGTCAGCATCTGACTGTGAATGTGGCAAGGTGGAGTAATGAGGGCCTGGGCGGGATTTGATCCCTAGACTCCCGGGTGAGAGTCACACGAGCTAACCAGTCGGCCAAAGTGGCTCGTGCTGCACACAGACAGCTGGTGTGATCAGCTCTGAGAAGCCTTGATCACAATTTGCAGATCACGTTTATTTTTCATGGAGATCGGCCACGGATTCCTCTTCCGTCTGCATTCTGGGAATCGAAACTAGGAATAGAAATAAGAAACTTAACAATTCCGGGACAAGCTAACAGTTGGAATTGGTTCCAATCGAGGCACGATGCTTGATGCCCAACCCTAATTAAAATCAGATGATAATCAGTGATGACCTTTCTTCTTCATTTGATCTTGTGTTCCTCAGCTCCGACCGACCTCTGGGAGAGTACAGGACAGGAAGTGGCCTCTGCACTACGAGCTATGGGCCTGCCGATTGGACCAGTTGTTTCTATGAAAAGAAACAGCAAAGGCGGGGCCCGGCAGGCCCTGGAACAGATCAGACAAGCTGACAAGGTCAAAGGTCAGACCTGAGGGTCAAATCTATTAATGATGTTGATGAATAAACACCAGTGGATGTGAACCTGCAGATGATATAAATGACAATATCAGTAGTGCTGGAACCCTCAGGGTGAGTCTGGTTTGGGGTCATTACAGAGGGTTGACCTGGTGACCCCACAACCCGGCTGTAATCACAGATAAAAAACAGATAAAAACCTAATAAAATGGAAGTTGCTGACCCTTAGAGACCTACAGCTGTGAATGTAATTCTAATTCTTCTTCTTCAGTTGTCATCATGTGCATGAGCTCTGTTCTGGTTGGTGGAGAGCATCAGAAAGAGCTTCTGTTAGCTGCTCTAGACAAGAGGATGGTCTCCGATGGTTACGTCTTTATCCCATATGATGCCCTGCTGTATGCCATGCCGTACCAGGTAAGTGATCATTTGAATGCAAAGTTAAGAATTAGCACATCCAGACACTGATGGTGTGAGCTGGTTTCTGGTGATGGAGGCACCAAGCAGCTGCTAGTTCTCAGGAGAGCCATGTCCCACAGAACCAGTCCTAGGCCTTCTACCACTTCCTAATACCGAGTCCTGATTTGTTGCTTCTGCTTTGTTCAATCAGGATGTAACATTTCACCAGCTCACCAACAACACACAGCTACGTCACGCCTACAGTGCTGTCCTCACTGTTACCATGGATTCTGACCAGAGTTTCTATGAGGCTTTTCGTCAGGCTCAGATCAACAGAGAGATCCGATCGGCCATTTCTGCCACAGAGGT